GAGGCACGCGCGTGACCTACGGAAGAATATAGGAAAAGTACAACGTCTCGTCACGATTCGTTTAGTTTTTAGTTTCTTCTTTTTCTTCTTCTTTTTTTTTTTCTTCTTTTTTTCAAGTTGCCGCCGTTTCAAGTGGACATGTCGATCGTTTCGTCACGGTGGCCGACTTCTATCGATTCGTCGACGTCGTCGTGCAGGCGTGTTCGCGCCGCACAGGCGATACAGAATTCCCAGGAACACGTTGAAAATTGAAACGATCGAATCTCTCACGTGCCTCGGGGATCGTTACTCGCGATATTTCGTTCCGGCAATTTTCTTATGGATAAGCTATTTACGATTTGACATTTCACCTGTCAGGTTGCGGGACGTTATGAGATTCTAATATTAGCTTGGTGAAATTTAACTTGCGAGGCACGTCGGTATTCGATTTTCCTTTTTCAGTTCGAACAAGGTATGAAAAATGAAAAATTCGTGAAAAAAAGAAGAAGACGAAAATCGTACAATGACCCATTTAAATCTCGTTTTAAAGCTTTTACTTTTACTGTCGTGAGTTCCTTCTTTTTTTTTTTTTTTTTTCTTTTTTTGTCGAAGAAGACTTTACATCACGTAACGGAGTGAAAAAGTGAGGATACATTTCCCTCGAAAATTGTAAAAATTCATTCATGCGTGTTTGAAACACTGAAAAATCTGTTTCGTAACTAGATCCACTATCGTTTCGAATGTTCAAGCCGGATTTGTGTGCGATCATTTTTCACCATTTTATTGAACGTTGAATATCAGGGTTTAAAATTCAAGAAATCCTAATATTTAACTCTAACGTTCCACGTTCAATAAAATGATGACATATAACCTTCAAGAATATAACAAATTTAGTCATGAAAAACATTTTTTAATATTTAAATTTTTATAATTTCCGATGAGAAAAGTATAAGTCAAAATAAAAGCTTCAAATGCTTACAAATAGAAAGATCAGGTTATATGATCTTTTCCTTACGAAGTTACATATATATCCAAAATGATGACGATGAATATGAATAAATAATTTTGATCGTGTAAAAATCTTTCAGGAATAGCTAACGTGAATATCCAATTGTTATAAATAAATAATTTGACAAATTACGTCGAAGTACTTGCAAGAGTAACTATAATCGTTCCTCAAATATTTCATTAATAACCACAGACGAATAAATCATGCATTTCAGAAAAATAATTTCTGACTTTAAATTCATCTCTGAAGACCTTAATACATGACGTAGCGCTTAATCTTTGAAATTATACAACGTGCATAACATATTTATAAAAAATGCCACTAACATATTAAATGTACAGAGATCCATTTCATTCCTTTTATTCTTCCATTCTTTCCTTTCCACCTTGTACCTTCCTAACTTAGTATCTTGTATTATACATATTTTATTCCTTTTCCAATCTTTCTCTTCTTTTTTACTCTTTAATTCTTTAAATCCAGCTGTCTCTTTTCTTTTCCTATTCTCTCTCCTTTTCTTTTTTTCTCTCTCTCCCATTTTTCCTATTTCGTTTCCCTTCTCCATTCCGTCACTTAATTCCAATCGAGATCAAACAAATCAGCTTGCAATTAAGCAAACGAAAATTGAAATCGAGAGATGGATTTCTTCAATGAGAAATTAGAAATCAGTTCGACAATCGGCCGAGACAACGTAGAATAGAAATTATACGACGTCTACTGCCAAAATAAAGATTGTCAAACCCTGACAACTGTAATTTAATGAATTAGAATTCTTCTCAACAAGATACATGTCCCCTCTTCGCCCAGTCGAAAAGGAAGAACAATAAATATTTCACGTGATTGTTAACAATGACAGAGGTTTCGAAAGATGCTTCAATTAACACAAAACGAAAAGATGGTAGCACAACTGAAAAGCTGCATTTTCCTATGGTTGCCATTGAAACGATTCTACCGTGGCTTCTGAAAAGTTTCCAACTATTCATGGTTTCGTTAATTTGACGGAAATATATCACGTTACACGCCCATGTATTTCTCCATTCGCCTACACCCACAATATCCCTCGCTGTTATGATTCTTTCACTTGAATTAATAAATACAATTTCCTTTCTGTTTTCTTCTTTTTCAATTATTGGCTTTCAAAACGAAAAGAAAGACGGAGAGAGAGAGAGAGAGAGAAAGAGAGAGAAAGGGTTATTTATTGGTATTTTACAAAAGTTAATTTTGACGGAGAACACTATTTTTTAATATTTTATATTTTAAATATTTCAATTTTAACTAAATATTTTATATTAGCAGAAAATGTTATTTTGTATTGTACAGTAGAATTGTATTGTTATTGCATAGTATATATAATTTTATAATGTATCAGCTATATATTATTATATAGTAGAATACCGTTTGTTGGGATCTAATTTTTTAGTAGCCTTTTTGAGAGCCTTTTGTTATTGTTAGTAGAAACTCGCCGTTCTAGAAATTAATTTTTACGAATTTCAAAAACGAATTTCTACTGATTTTTAATATTTTTAAACGCCTTAATTCTTAATGGAAATTTGTCTTTTTAAAGATTTTATTTTTAGTAGAAATTCGTCTTTTCTTAAAACAGAGATTCCTTTCGAACACTAACTACTCTATATATTCCTAATCTGAAAGAGAAGTTTCATGTCACTCGTTGTTTCATCAATTATCTCTACGTCACCAATAACTTGCAATGTTCCTAAAACTGCTAACTAAGAAATTTCAATAATTACCTTCAAATGAAATTTTTCTCCAACGTATTTGTCCTCTGATTTATCATGACGTTCATTACATTTCTCAGTACAAGAAAAATTCTAAAAAATTCTGAATACCCCGAGGCAAGTATCTACTTTAACGAGATAAGACGATTCGCGTGAAACTTCCCCGACGCGTCCGGTGCGAAATATAACAATCCCGGGTTTTTGCGGCATTCCGAGAAAGTTTCCAGCAAACACTCGAGAAATGCTTTTTTTTAAAAATGTCGCACGTCAAAAACAAGTACCCTCGTGCGCCACGATCTTCCCCGGCGTGCTGTTACAACTAAATTCACGGACGCTTGTTCGCCCGTAAAGAAAACAATTTGTCACGAAGGATAATTGAGACGTCTCTACTTTATTCGCGGACGTTTGTGCTACGAACGTTGCAAACGTTCCAGCACTTAATCGTATTACATTGCATAAAATCGTGCTGTATTATAGGTAAAAATTTTACCTAAGAAATGAATCGACTTCCAACCTTCATTCGTCGAAACAATCGGCGATACAAAATGCCGACATACAGTTCGGTTGACAGTACTTTTACGAATTGTCTGTTATGCATCGTTTCAATTAAATAGTTTTATCGTCGTATTACGATATCGACGTTTCCAAATGAAAACGACTCCGCGTATTCCAGTTCGGGAACAACGTACACGTGTGCAGGGAAATATAATATTTCGAATTGCCGGCGATTCAATTTTCCGGATAATTGATCGACAAAATTGAGCTACAACAGATCCATTCCCTCGTAATGGGTATCGAAGATCCTCGCCATTGATGGCTAACGAATACTATATAAAACATAACAAACGTAGAACTCGTAACATTCCAATTTCGAAGAAATATTTGTAAAAAGGAGCTTTACAACCGTACGACTTGTAACTAGCAAAATTTCAGTAACGAACGTCAGTTCAATTAGTAAGCAATTAATATCAATGAATCCTCTTACGTAGTAGCTTATGTAATAAATTTATCAACGAACAAATCCTATAGATGATCTTCCGTATTGTTTCTCATGCAAGAAGAAGCTGTGCCAGAAAATTTTGAATATTTCTTTTTCTTTGTATCAATTCTGGCATTTCTTGATAAATTATCTTCATAATTTTTAAATAGAAATTTATGTCAAAATAAGAAGATAGCAATTTTATGAAAATTGTAATTCTACTTTTCATACAGGCTGAAGAATATATCTTGTGACACTGCTATTATATATAGGCTGGTTGCTCCTTTGCACTGGACTCACGAATTCACTAATATTACACCAAGTAAATTATTCTGCAAGGAAACTCTCGCCCTCTCATTGTCAAACTTAATCCTCTACTGCCAAGGAGAAATCTCAGGGACTCCTCTGATTTATCACATACACGTAAAGGCACACGGGATTTGTTCGTGTAATTTGAAATGGAATTAATATAACCAATGTTCTATTATGGGTACCCTTTTTTGATATTGTACAAAATGTTATTTTAGTTGAGAATTAATACAGTTTTAATCTATGATGTTTATTAAGTTGAAAAATTGAAAAAAATCGACACTTACTTATGAATACCCCTATTATTGTTTATTATTTATATTATTATTACTATTATTTTAATGGTCTATTTTGTTGTTTATTATTTATATTATTATTACTATTATTTATACTATTATTTTAATTGCTTATTTTATACTATTATTTTAATCATATGTTTATTAAGAAAACGTGTAACAGAGAGGAGTTCAAATAAGTAAAATTACAAAGGGCAATGAAGAATTATCAGAAATAATGAAGGTATTCGCCAATTATAATCAATAACAATAAGTAAATCGTAATTAATAATAAAGAATTATCAAAAATAATAGAAGCAAAAGTTCTGAAAATTAACTAAAATTTCAGGAGTCTCGCAGACTCTGGTAAACCATTGCATCCCAGAAACGATACCTCGTCGACAGTAAAGAATTAACAATATTCATAGCCAAATCACTTCCAACAATGAATACATTATTTACTTGCATAGTAAATTATTAACAATCGCTGAATCATTGAACATTTATATTCCTAACGAATTCCTAACGAATTCGAAATATTTCAATTTACACTCGTTATATTCAAAGTCAAACCAGCGAGTTTTCGATCGAAAAAAAAAAAAAAAAGAAAAAAAAATTGTCAGACGACCTAACCACTGCCTAACCAGAAATCGAAAATCCTCTTTCTCTTCGCCGAAAAGAATGTTCTCGGTGAGTCGTTCGTACGTGACACTTACCGAGCAGTCGTTGACGTAGCAAAAGTCACCGGAAGCTGACGTCGGCACCCAAAGATGTTCTCCATTAATCGCGCCGGGGCCCCAGTCGGGCGTCGATCGGGGTTCACGGTGACCGCCACTCGTTCCACCCTCCTCTCTTCCTCTGAAAACGGCAAGACACTCGATTACGGAGTGACACTTCGATATCGCCTGTGTGCTGTTGCAGTTGACGTTAATTCCTCTACAGAAATTCCATTACGATGGTGGACAAGACAGGCTACGAGAGTCTGAGGCTATAGACATAGACATAGACAGAGACAGAGACAGAGAGAGAGAGAGAGAGAGAGAACATATCTAGTAGCCAAAACCTTCTCGAATCGAGAGCTGTGTATATGTATATCGAGACAAACGATTGCATCGTATTTGGGACGAACGGTTTCGTCGTTCTGTGGAGGAATTAACGTAACAAAACTGCACAGTTGACCTGTCATAACACATCGATTCACGTATCACAACGGTTAGACGACACTGAAGTAAGCGAGTTTTATCGACATTTTCATGCTGATCGTACACAACGAACGGATTCGTCAAGCTAGATAGGCGATTAGTAGTTTCCAGCGTACGCTGGATACCAACAGCTACCGACAGCTTTAGTTTTCGTTGTCCCGTTGGTAGAACTGATTTTGTTGAATAAATCATGCTGATGTGAATCAGTGTTTCAGAGAGTTAAACACCGAAAATCAAAGAAGCATCGTAACGTCGGGGAAAAAGAAAAAAAATTTCTTTTTCGGAAGAACTTTCTGCAAATCTGAACAAATCCGTGCACGTACCTTCCGTTTGCAAACAAACATGTTAATTTTGTTTAATCCGCTCGTCGCTCCTGGTGGACTTTCATTCCTCTAAAAGCAAGAGTGTAAAAAATATTGAAGCTCGAAAGACGTTCAGCCGAACGAAGACGTGTCAAATCAGGACATCGTGTATTATTTTATTAAGGATCGTCCATCAAGGACGATTTTATCATTAAATTTCGCTCGAATCGTTTAACATTCTTTTTCCTTTCACTGCTATTTTCTTGCACTTCTACAATTTCACGAAAGTTCAACAAATTGCCATAAATTTGTTGATCCTTAATGTTGGGTTAATTAACTTTATTTATCTTTCTATTATTTTTCTTTATTTATGTATCTATCTTTATCTATTAATAAACTTAATCTTTTTAATCTTCCCTTTTTTAACGTTAGAAAGTGATCAACGTAATTTTTAATTTTGGAAATTCTGCAGATTCGTCGCCATTACTTTCACTTGAATTTTATGAAAGTTCGATGTAAATTGCCATAAATTTGTTGGCCCTTAACTTAACCTATCCCTTTTTGACGCTAGAAAGTGATCAACACGATTCAATTCGTAACTTTTAATTTTGGAAAAATTCGAAAGACACGTTTTCACAGAAACATTCGCGACGACGCACTTTTATATGAATCAAACATTGCACGAACTATGTATGTATCGCTCTGTGAATTTTGTACTTAAGTTGAAATATATGAACCAAAGCTTCCGTAGTCTATGTTTTACGTAGTCTTTGTTGCGAGTTTTACTTTCGTTTCCCTGAGACAGTTCTAGCGTTAATACAGGGAAGGCCAAAAATAAATCCGCAATTTGTTATATATTTATTATATATTATATATTTTATTATATATTTTATTATATTTTTATTTTTATACTTTTATTACTTTACTTTTATTACATTTTTATTTTTATACTTTTATTACTTTACCTTTATTATATTATATATATTATTTTACTTTACTTTTATTATATATTTTTTTATTATATTTTACACTTTTATTTATTTTATATATTTTTTATTATATTTTATACTTTTACTATATATTTTTTTAAAATTTTTTCTTTTTTACAGATTAAAGTACACGCAAAAAAAAACAACTTAAATTCAATTCAAAATTAATAAAATCAGTTTTGATGTTTTATTAAAAGAAAAAAAAAAAAAAGAAAAAAAAAACAGGTGAGAAGAAACTTTTGACCCTGCGTAACCGTGACCAATGATCAAGGATCACTCTCGAAACGAATCAGCTGAACTACTCTTCGTCTACCCATGGATCGTACGTTCGACGAGATGAAAAAAAAAAAAAAAAAAAAAAGAAAAAGAATAAATTTATACCGGTAGGATATAAATCAGCACGCGGCAGCGTGCTGGCTGCTGTGAAAAATTCAAGAGCTCTCGAAATTTCAGAGACGCGACCCGTCACATAATGCGCGACACAGCGTGCAACTTCAACGTGGCAAAAGTTACCCGACCCCCTCTGATTCCCTTTGCGCGATTATATAAAAATTTTAGGCCGCTCGTACGCGGCAAAGCTCGCCTCTCTCTCTCTCTCTCTCTTGAACGCGTAGCCTGCTTTTTGCATAATTAGTCCGCGGAAATTGCCGGATATTTGGGTCAAACACGAGACAGAAAGAGCGAACGCGAGATGACGTAGTTTTCTCTACGGCGTTTTCTCGGATTGCGGATCTTCAATATGGAAAAATCGAAAAATACGCGAAACGGGGGAGGAGGGGGCGGGAGAGAAAGAGAGATAAAGGTCGTGTTATTCCTACGTCACACGACTGAAACGGAAATTACTCCGTTCGCTCGTCTTGTTTCCAGTGATATTTCAGTGACGTGTCTACGTCACTGAAACGTATGTACAGAGCGTGCTCTGCGTGCGGTATCTTTTTGCAGAAGCTCAAAGGAGCTTCGTCAAACTTTTTTTTTTTTGTACTTTGTTCCGATCCACGCAGCAAAATCAAAGAGGTTCTATAGTTCGAAAATTTAGAAATTGCAGGATGTTGTTTCATGTTGTAATCTGCCGATTGATTGTGAGTCGTGCTTCAGAATTGGTCTTAACAAGCCTAATAAGTGAGTTTCAAACCCTATCGCGATGTATCTCGGGGGACAGTGTTTAGTTTTAGATTCGCGTGTTTAATTTCTTCTTTCATCGTTCATATTGTCATTCATTAACTTGTAAATGTTCGACGAAACACGAAAAACTGGTGAAAATGTAATTTGAAATTCAGAAATTATGCTCTACGTTGCCTCTATCGGTAATTTAGTGATTAATTCGTATGGTGCTAATAATTATTAATGATGCGAATAATTTTTGAGTTTAGACTCTAATTATGACTATAATATCTAGAAAATAGTATAAGAGCTGTGAAAATGTGTAAAACAGGTTTGACTTACAAAAATGGATGTAATTTATAGTTATTGAACAAAATACGAAGATTCGCGAACGAAGATTAGTAAATTTTAAATTTTAAAAATTGTGCCGTGTGTGTTATTCGATCGGACAATGATGCTAATAATTTTTCCGTTTAAATTTTATCATGATGTATGTATCTAAGAGATAATAGATAAAAACTGTGGAAATACGTAGAATATAGGTTCAATTTATTTACAATTATTCGACGAAATATAAAGATCCACGAGTGGGTAATTTGAAATTTAGAAATTGCTAGAAAGATCTATATCGTTTTATGAGTAGCGTACTGATAATTCAATGATCGATTATTTCATCCACATTACGAGATAGTGAGATATGTTTGATTTATAAAAACGTACGCAATTTATAACTGTATGAACGAGAATGAGTAGATCGCTCGAAATACAGAAACTATGGGACGATGTTCCATGTCATTTTACGAATGATATTTGATCGGTAATCCAGTAATTGATTCACGCTGAGATATATATATTCGCGATTAATAGCATGATGACCAATAACGCGTCGCCACAGCGATACGTTATCTCTTGCTTCACACTGAATATATATATAATAAAATATACAAGTATACAATAACAAAATATACTTTATAATTATTATAACAAAATATAATTCAATAATAAAATATACTTTATAATTATTATAATAAAATATAATTTCAGAGATAGTGGTAAGGAGTAATTGATAATTAAATAAATATACGTATATATATATATTACATACGTATATTTATTTAATTATCAATTACTCCTTACTACTATCTTGTTGATCAAATATTCAACGTCATTGAAATTATATTTTTGGAACTAATCGATCGGTCACAGCATTAAGTCAATTTAGTTTATTCAACTAAATTACTATATTTTGTCACTCAACTAAATTACTGTTCATGCACGTAATTTATACACCAATTCTAATCCGATATTCTCTGTTTAGAAACATTTACAATTAAAAATATTGCATGACATTTATGAAGAAAGTGCGCAACGGCAAGTCATTAAACTCGATTAAACCACAGTAATTTCGATTATACCACGATCGACGATCGAGCTCGCTAATAGATTGCAACTGATCGAGTTTCGCAAGCAATCTAGAGAGACAGTGCGATTATTTCAAAGCAATAGCCGCAATTAACAACGAGAACCTGGCGACGTTATAATTAACCGGCTCGCAATCGAAACTGAAATTTGCGCGAACGTTTGCTACAATTGATGGCAACTATCTGTCAGATTGCAACGCAACAGTGACAAATCTATGATCCGTCGCGAGATAAAAATTATCGAAATAACGTTGCGTCTAACGTCGACTCTTTTGATCGAAAAAAATTCATCAAAATTAAATTTCCACGGAACGGTTAAATTCCATTATAAAAATTTATCAATTGCTGCGACGAGAGAAAGCTTCTCTCTGCGCCTTTCGCCAGATGAAAAATTTATACGCAGCTAAATTCATTCGAACAGCGTCTTCAAAGTTAATTACGACTAACAACCCTCTGGCAATATGAGTAAATATTACCTCAACATCTCTACTTCGTTAGCGACCGCCATACTACATTAGCTTGAACTCTGTGCATGAAATATGACATCAATCCTACAGAAACGTACAGCTACTTTATTTCGTAACGTAGGAAAATTGTTCCCGATTTTTTTTTTTTTTTTTTTCTTTTTATTACATCGATCGTCCTTTTCTGTTGGCAAAAATTAAAAGATAAATTTTAATTAATTCTCTCTGTTTGTGAATTCCAATTACAAACTTCACGGTGTATTTTTTTAGTTTGAACCTAGAAAATCAGGTTTAAACGTTTAGACTTCTCGTTAGTTTGGACGAGCAACCAAGTTCGTAACCAGAGAAGGAGTTATTAATTCAGTAATCGCTATCACACACGCTAGGCTCGAGCGCCGTAATCTCTTTACTACGACTCCACTGCACCAACAATACGAGAGCCAGATACATCTGTTAACTGGACTC